CATCTTGTAGTGCTGATAACTCTATCCGTTTATGGGATGTTAAGACAGGATAATTAAAAGCCAAGTTAGATGGTCATTTAAGTTAAGTTAATTCAATTTGTTACTCACCTGATGGTACTACATTAGCATCTGGCGGTGGGGATTTGTATGGTGATTATTCTATCCGTTTATGGGATGTTAAGACAGGATAATAAAAAGCCAAATTAGATGGTCATTCATCAACAGTTTTATCGATTTGTTATTCTCCTGATGGAAATACATTAGCATCTGGTAGTTTAGATAGCTCTATTCGTCTTTGGAATGTAAAAACATCAAAGGAAATACTTCAATCAGATAGTAGCTATAAAAATTTGCTTGCCTAGTTTAACATACCTCTTCAGTCCTTATTGCCAAATGGTATTTATTATTAATTATTATTTAGTTAATCCTTACTGTACTATACTTAAAATATGTTGGAATCCTTTATTTGAAGCATCAGGAACACTTATCCTATAAGGATAGTTCATTAATCATTAAGGGAAAGATTTAAAACCATTGTTTAAATCCAAAGGAAGTTTCTTTTTAGAAGACTTAAAGCAAAAGTGAATTTGAATATTCATTAAAAACATTACAATTATATGATTTGACAGAATACTCTCTTAGCATCATTCTTAGTTGTTGTTCCAATTCACTTGTGGTTTCCCCCCAGAATGTTTCAAATCCTGATATATTTAAGGTAAATCTTTTTCTAAATTTATTTATCCTATTTAAATTACTATTTTTCAAGAATGAAATGTGGAGCATGAGAATAAAATTAATTTTTATCAACTTGAATTTAATTCAACAAATTTAAATTTTTCATGTACTTTTTCAATAATTTAACTTCCAATTAATTGTATTTTTAAAAACCAAATTTTTCTTCATCATAAATTTCATGAACATTATTGTTTCATTAATTAATCTTGCTTTTATGAAATTAATTCAGCAAATTCAAATAAATTGGGTAAATTACAAATTTACCAATTAGAACATATATTTTATATGAATAGGCTTAAACTTTACATTCGTGATGTGTCTGTTTGGGGCTCGGGCTTCTTGATAAATATTCTTAATCATTCTTATCTCATAAAGATAAGCTTCCTCTGAAAAAGTATCATCAATTATCGATTATCTCCAGTCTTTATTAGGACTTTTACCTTCATTCTTTCTCCATCATTTTTCAATGAATGCAAATCCCAATATTTCTATGTTCTCTTTAAAACTACAATTTAAAGAGTTTAGGCCTTAGTTTCCTTAAAATTATGAAAAATAAATATTTAAGGTGAAAGCAGTCTGAGAATTTCTCAATAATTTATTTCCAATGAATTCAAAAGTATTATAGAACAAAGATGATTTGTATGAAGTATTAGCTTACTTGAAATTTATTGATAGCAAAATATTCAAATTGATACTTAAAAAAGAGGCAATTTCAGATTCCCTTTTCATGCAGTTATTGAAAAAATTAATAGCCATGACTTCACTATAAATAATTACTCTGCTGAACAATATATAGAATAGAAATATGCTTTAATTAAGAAAATAGGGGTAGATGAAAATATAATTGAATTCTGAAAATATTTAGTCCTTCTCACTTCCATCGATAATAAATTCATCTAAGTGGGTCAAATTCTATTCATTGTTAATTGAAATGTAGGTTGACCTGAAGGCATAATCTTTTGAAAAAATTACCATTTAAATTACCACACTTTGAGGGGCGAATTTTGTCAAATGTGACTTGAGGGGATCCTAATTTTGAAAATGTCATTTATTGGTGCAATAAATTTAAATGGACAAAATTGTTTAATAGTAAATGGAAAAATTTTTAAATGAATGAGAGAATGGAATTAAATGATAATAGCGGTAGGGTTAATTCAATTTGCTTTTCTTCAGATAGTAAATCCATAGTATCGAAGTAGTGAAGACAACTTCATTCGTTTGTGGGATATTAAGACAGGAAGAATTAAGTCTAAATATAAAACCAACAAGGATGTAAAATAAATACAATAGCTAAATAGAGTGGTAAATTTTTGTGTTTATGGAATCTAAAATCAGGGAAACAAATGTCGGGACTTCTAGGTCATACTAATTAGATTTGTTCAGTTGCTTCTGTTTCGATGGAGCTACTTTGGAATCAGCTTCTTATTTTTATTTTACTTTTATTCGCAATTATATTATAATTAGAAAGAATTAAAAATAAAAAACTCCAGATTAAAAGAAAATTGACTTTTTGTGATAAAGAAAACCCTCTGGGACTTTTCTTTCGAATATTATGGTAGATTTATAACTTTATACTTTGCATCTTNACTTGAGAAGTAGGAGCGAAAAAAAGCTTTTCAAAAAAACAAATGGTTAGTATCTTTCAGACGGATTTTCGTATTACAGATTCCTCCAATAAAGCCAACTTAACAATTCCCTTTGTTGTTGATCAACATAAGAGCTTTCATCACAATTTACCCTGCATCCATCTGCAAAGATATATATTGTGATAAATAGCTCTACAAATCTCATCCGTAGATAACACTAATAAGCATTTAAAATCTCCTCAATTTATAGAAATTTTCCTGTCCAAAATTCAGAAAACCAAACTTATCGAAGTGGATAATAAATTATTGATGAATTTTAAGGTATTGAGGTTTATATTTAAATAAATATTATGACTTCAATTTATTATTTATTTATTATATAAAATTTTCATTGGAGGTGGTTGGTATTATATATAATATTTTTCACTTAATCTCAATTATATATTATCTAACTTAGATTTCTAAAGATTTTTAATCCCAAGTAATCATATCTTCAGCAACTTCTGACACTATGCCATAAATTGACGCTTTTCTAAAATCAATTGACTAATCCCAATTCTCATCAAATTTAATAAGATTTACAAAACTTCCATTTTTACTTACCAAAATCTATTTTAATGTAACCCATTTTTAAGGAAATTATGAGTTACATTATTTGCTTGATTTAGAATTTACTTTCTGATTGTTATCAAATTATTTTGTTTTTAAATTGAACTAAAATATAAGAAGATGCAATAGGACTTGAACGCAAATTAGTTTTCCTTCACAGAAAAAAATCTCAATTCCCATAATTCAACTGAAGCATTTTAAATCTTAATCCATACTTTTCATTTTTGCTAGCTTACAATTATCTTTTTATCCTCATAAGCACATAAGATTAATTGATTTTTTTCTGAATTCAGACTCAGCCTTGAATATTTCCTGAATGTCCATTTAAAATAAGGTAAAAATCCCAACTGATTGTTTTTTCCCAAAATTTAATAGAACAGTCAGCACTTCCAGAAATTAGGATATCTTCATTTTACTAAGTTCTAAGCATGAAATGGCTTCAGTATGACCTTCTAGTTTTTAAAAACTATGTTATTTCAATACCACTAATTCTAAATGTATAACTCTCTCAGATTGTTCCACTTATAAGAAGAGTGATTGGCCATCTGATGCAGACCCTATCAAAAATTGTAGTACTCTTATTGATAAGAGCGGATTCAATGTACTGCTGATAGTGGGGAAAAATTGCGTAGTAAAAATTATTCTATTTGAATTTGGAATGTAAAGAATGGAAATCATCTTGCAAATCTGATGGATAAAAATGCATTGATTCCACTCAAGATTGTTCATAATACTCTGGAGACAAAGATTCATGTATCAAATATTTAGATTCTGATAATCTCAATTATTATTATGGTATTGCTGGTTTTGATTAAGATATTAGACCATGTCCGACATTATCTTGCTATCTGAATACTACAGAATCATTTTAAAATGGATGTTAGACCAAAGGAGTTGGATGTATAGTAAAGACTGCTAAATGTGATGAATATAGAGGAACAAGAAATCAATTTTCCAAAATTTCAAGGATATGTGTCGAAAACATAACAGAGTTCAGTTCAGGAGATGCTACTAAAATGATTAGATTTATATTTATATTAATCAAGCATAGCTAACTATACTGAATTGTCCAAATGCATTCTTTGTGTTAGTAATGGTCAAAAATAAATGTATCAGAAATCCTGCTAAATGTAGGAATTTTAATGGCAACAACATAACGTGTTAGACATTCACAGCACTAATGGATGGACCATGAAAAGGTAATTCAGATAACTCCATTGGATAGTGTTAATCTAGACAGTGTAATGATGATATTATTGATATTAAATACTGTTCATCTTACACTCTAAAAGTTGCAGGTGCTTCAGGAGGCATAGATAGGTAATGTAGTTCTTTGCCTAGGGCTTCAAAAACTATGATGTTGTCTGCAAACTATTCACATTATGTTCAGAAGCAAATAATGACAAAAATGTCTGTCTCTCAAACTCCAAATATTGTTAGTGGGTTCAACTAGTGTTTTGCAAATTTAAAGATAATTATCTAAATATTAAGTGATTCACATCTGCTGTAAAGAAGTAATTTATACCTCATACATGTCTTACTTACAATACAAAAATGATTGTACTCCTATTTCCAGTTTTGATGAAAAATCATATCATTTTTGTGCTAAAGTCAAAAAAGATATGTTAAGAAATCTTGCCAACTACATTGACTATGAAAACCTGTTACAGAATTAGTGCTCAAACCAACCTTTGTAATATAACAATAATGCGTAAAATGCAAACTTTAACTGAAAAATAATGTTGCAAATAACTAAACGATTCCTCTCATATGCAATTTACTTTTGCTTCATATTAAGTTTGTATTTCTGACATTATTGTATGTATTTCAAAATTAATATATATATTTATTTTATACCTACTTTATTATACATCCAGAAATGTTTAAATTCATTGTTATTAGAATATTTATAATTAACAACTCCATTTGCAAATACCAATTTAATAAATTAATAATTAAAACCTTTGCTAAATTATTATGCCTAATTTTTATAATAACTTTTAGCGATCTTTAAAAAGATTATCTAAATTCAAAAAAACAATTTTTAGAAATAATAATAAATAAAATTACTGATATGAGATCGTATAATAATCCGTTCTATCATCACCTTATTGAATACCAGTTATTCATATTATTTCAATCCACTTTAACTCCAATTTATGATGCGAATCTTACAGAATATGTCAAACAAAGATTTCTAATAGAGATATTAAACAAAGTTAAAAGATTTACGATTATAGCAACTTATAAATATAATTTATGGAAATCAATTAATCTATTGCATTGAAGTATCCCTAATAATAATAATAAAATCTTCAAAATATATGTAATTAGCTAACAAATTTAAACAACAAGACTATATTAGCATGGATTGTAAATTTAGAAAAGTCTTTGATCTGTGGATTAAAAGCTACCATTCAAAAGTTCATAAAATTATTATTGTCATCAATTTTTGAAAATGCCAATAATCAAAACATTTAGAGGAAATCCCACAAAATTAAAAAATTAATTATAATAATAGTCTTTAAAACCTCAAATATATCTAAATACTTTAAACACCTATAACACATATTGAATAAATACAATATAACCATCTCTAAGCGAATTACCTTAGCTCATTTTTTTGTTATTGTCATCTTTAGTTTTGTTTATTTTTTCGTTGGATAAAATATAACTATAGAATTTGAAGATGGAGAAAAATCTCACAAATATACATTAAATAACAAAGGTTTGACTTTGTTTCCCTGCTAATAATATTCTAAGAAATTTAATATTAAATTCTATTTAAATTACTAATATATTAATCAAGGTTATTTTTATAACATTTCTAAAGGTTCCATTAACGCATAGTCATTATCTATATCAATAGAATTAGCTGGCTTAACTGTTAACCTATTTGATTCTTTACTAGATTAATGATCTAAATAATTATTCTTAAGTTTTCCTCCCATCTAATGACTCTGCTGCAGAATTTAATCTCCAAATTATTATTGAATGATAAATTATAACCTCGAAATTTCATATAAAATGTTATTTAGTCTACATTTTTCCTTTGCTCTTTTAATAAATGCTTGATATTTATATTTGAAGTTTTCAAGTGTTCTATCCACATTATCTTTTAAGTTATTCTAGTTCTAATATTCAAATTGATTGAATAAGTTCAACTTAATTTTTTTCATTTCTGGATAATACATGATTACAATTTCATGCAATAATTCATTTTCCAATAACATTTTATTGTAATATATTGCAATATATTTTAATAAAAATATCACCTAAACAATTGATCCAACTTAAGCTAGAATTTAACCTAGCTTTGGTAATGTTATGCTTTCATTAACTGAAATATTATCAATTCTAAATAAATAACAACCAAAACTCTTGAATTCATGCTTCTGTTTTGACATTTAACTAACAACCTGGGAAGTGAAAAAATTATCAACAGGTTGATGAATTAACTCATAATTATTTAAGAAATAGTAGTAATTATAATTATTAAATAATATTCCATCATCGACGACAGTTTCTTATTATTTAAGCAAAACTTATGAATATAAAGGTCTAGATAATTCAAATGCTGTATAATATTGCTTTTCTATTTCTTCTAATTCTCCTATAGAATACTTAAGTTAATTTAATCGAATTTTTAAAAATAAAAACCCATGAAATTTCGTTAAATACTCATTTATTACATTTTAATCAGCGCAATAACTTCCAGACACAGCAGTCAAGTTAGAACAGCTTTCTAAAACAAGCAACAATTGGGTCATTTAAATGTGATCATCAATTCCAACAGAATCGTGATTTAAAACAATAGTGCCATTATCAATCGAAATTGTAAATGGCCTATCTTCACTACTAAATAATGGGATTGGCTTATCAACTATTGATGTATTCAAAATTCGATATAAATTAGGAGTAATGATATTATGCTCTTTTCTAAAAGGATCAACATCTCCTGAAAAGTCTTATAATTCCAATTAAATAATAGAGTCTGACAACTGAAATTCAGCATATGAAATAGTTTGTTATTTAATACTAACAATAGCAGGAATTTGATGATCAATCCATTAAATAATTGCATATAAAAAATATGTGAAACTAATCCCTCCAATCAAAATAGTAATTATTCCACCAAGCTTGCTTTGATATAAGGATGCCTTAGCCGAAGTTAAAAGACTTACAGGAACCCCAAAAATATCGACCTTATCTATTGTATTTAGTATTTATTGCATCTAAATTAAATAATAAATACTAATAAAATATTTTTGAAAGGTTATAAGATATGTCTACACTTTAGCAAAATACTATTATGTAATAAAAATAAAATATTTAACAAAGACAATAAAACTAAAATTGGAAAACAAAACCATGAATTAAATTATAATTATAGTTAAAATTATAAAAAAATTGTTATCCAAGCTGAATATATTTATTATTCATTATAAAATAATGTCATTTGAAGAATTTAATCTAGTCTAAAGATAGGAATAAAATGAATAAGATTCTGTTTATTTTAATTATTTTTTTGCGATATTTTATCTTAATGTCAAATTTTGATCTCCTGTCAGAACCATCTGATAAAGATACTAAGTGATCATTTTGTCCATAAGATTTATCTAATTAAAATTGAGTTCATTTATGAAACCATTTTGATTTTAATTTCAAGGGACTTGTGAATATTTAGAAATTTTTGTTAATAAATCTAAATATATATGATTGATGAATTCTTCTACTTACAAACCCTTGGCACTTAAAACATCTTCGCTATTAAAATCCATTATCACAAGTCGATCTATTGCAATTTCTAATTCTATATATTAATTTCCATATAAAACATCATGTAAAGTAATAGTATTTTTTAGAACAATAAAATATCTTATTATTTTATAAAAAAATTATATTAATTCAATTTTTTCTGGGTTTTTTTTTAGTCATTTAATTTATATTCATGGAGACTGACATTATATTTGCCTTCAAAAATTTAAAAGGCATCTACTTTGATTGGCTTTTAAGTATTTTTAGCCTAAACACTTTTAATATCCTTATTTAATAAATAGTTAAAAAGTCATCAATCTCGTCAGTATACTTAATTTATCAATTGTTAGATTCATAAATCTATTAGTTTTTTCGATGTTGTTTATAAATATTAGTGTAATTTATTTATTATTATTTTATTATCTCTGAAATATTACAATGATTATTAAAAATTCTCTGCCAATTTAATGTTCCTATTGGCATGTCATTCGTAATATCATTTATTTCTAAAACAATCTCAAAGTTTAAAATCTTGATTAAAATTATCAAACTCTTGCTAATCATACACAGTTTATGAAATCCCTCTGTCCTTTCAAACAAATGTATCTGATTATTATTTTAAAAAGAGATTCCTATGGATTTGTCAAATCTATTATAATAATATTATATTGGATCTTTGTATTTACTTTTGCGTTAACTAGTGCTGTTAGGAATATGAAAAATGATGGAAGTTCTGCTACTGCAATTTGGAAAAAGTGTAATTACTTTAATAGAATTGGTTATTGAATTTATGATAAAGACGATTAGTAATTAATGATAACAAAGGATCGTCCAAATCCTTGCTGAATATGATAAGGATATAAGCGATAAAAGTAGGGCATTATTAAGATCTAGAATCAGCAATAACAAAGAAATNAATATATTTATTATTCATTATAAAATAATGTCATTTGAAGAATTTAATCTAGTCTAAAGATAGGAATAAAATGAATAAGATTCTGTTTATTTTAATTATTTTTTTGCGATATTTTATCTTAATGTCAAATTTTGATCTCCTGTCAGAACCATCTGATAAAGATACTAAGTGATCATTTTGTCCATAAGATTTATCTAATTAAAATTGAGTTCATTTATGAAACCATTTTGATTTTAATTTCAAGGGACTTGTGAATATTTAGAAATTTTTGTTAATAAATCTAAATATATATGATTGATGAATTCTTCTACTTACAAACCCTTGGCACTTAAAACATCTTCGCTATTAAAATCCATTATCACAAGTCGATCTATTGCAATTTCTAATTCTATATATTAATTTCCATATAAAACATCATGTAAAGTAATAGTATTTTTTAGAACAATAAAATATCTTATTATTTTATAAAAAAATTATATTAATTCAATTTTTTCTGGGTTTTTTTTTAGTCATTTAATTTATATTCATGGAGACTGACATTATATTTGCCTTCAAAAATTTAAAAGGCATCTACTTTGATTGGCTTTTAAGTATTTTTAGCCTAAACACTTTTAATATCCTTATTTAATAAATAGTTAAAAAGTCATCAATCTCGTCAGTATACTTAATTTATCAATTGTTAGATTCATAAATCTATTAGTTTTTTCGATGTTGTTTATAAATATTAGTGTAATTTATTTATTATTATTTTATTATCTCTGAAATATTACAATGATTATTAAAAATTCTCTGCCAATTTAATGTTCCTATTGGCATGTCATTCGTAATATCATTTATTTCTAAAACAATCTCAAAGTTTAAAATCTTGATTAAAATTATCAAACTCTTGCTAATCATACACAGTTTATGAAATCCCTCTGTCCTTTCAAACAAATGTATCTGATTATTATTTTAAAAAGAGATTCCTATGGATTTGTCAAATCTATTATAATAATATTATATTGGATCTTTGTATTTACTTTTGCGTTATTGTTCATCTAAATAATAATTATAACTTGATTATTGTTATATAATTTGTTAGCTATGAACAAAGTTAAACATAATATCTAAATATCAAATTGTGTATTGGTTATAATTATTTGAAAAACTCAAACAATATAATTTAAACTAGGACAATAACTAGTGCTGTTAGGAATATGAAAAATGATGGAAGTTCTGCTACTGCAATTTGGAAAAAGTGTAATTACTTTAATAGAATTGGTTATTGAATTTATGATAAAGACGATTAGTAATTAATGATAACAAAGGATCGTCCAAATCCTTGCTGAATATGATAAGGATATAAGCGATAAAAGTAGGGCATTATTAAGATCTAGAATCAGCAATAACAAAGAAATTTAAAAATGGAAATACCAATAACTATAAGAGTTTATCACTGTTTTCATTATTTTTAAAACAACCTTTTCTATAAATAATAAATTCTATAAAAATAAAAAATAATTGATTAAAATTGATGATGAAGAATTATAAACTTAGTAAAAGGTTTTGAATTTTTTTATTTTTATAATAATCTTAAAGGTATAGTAATATGCAAACAATCAAGAAGACTTACAAGATAAATGTATTTGTAAATTTTTGCCGCAAATTCTATATTTAGAACTTTAATTGAAATACATTTATTAATTACATATTAATCAAATTCTCAATGTAGAAATCTACAAGTTTAGATTATTATATATTAAACCTTTATTGCCTCATCAGAAATTATTTTTGTGTTCATGTCTAACTACCTTATAAGAATCTGCATTATTTTAATTAATTGTATATGTAAGGATACCTTATTCTAATTTAGTAACTTGGAGTTGTAATCAAGGAGAAGTTAATATTAATGGTTATTGTTTAACTTGTCCACTAAATTGCATAAGTTGTTCAATTGTTTATCTTTGTGATAATTGTAAGCCAGAATATTACGTCATCTCTTCTACGAAGTAATGTGGTAGCTGTTCAACTGGGTGCCAAATTTGTAGTGGTAATAGTGGATCTTCCTGCTCCAGTTGCTTACCTCAATATTATAAAAGCACATCTGGTTGTGACTTATGCCCTGCTTATTGTGCTACTTGTACATCTAGTACTGTATGCTAAACATGTGTGGATCACTATATACTTATTGGAAATACTTGCTCAGTTTGTGATTCTTCTTGCAAGAATTGTTAAACGACTACATCTAGCTGCACATCATGTGATCCTGGCAAATATCTTTCTGGTTCTTCGTGTCTTCCTTGCTCATATCCATGTTCTGAGTGTATCAATAACTCTAATTCTTGCTCTGCTTGCATTGAAAGCAATAAAACAGCAGTCAATCATCAATGTGTGTGTGATGAAGGATATTATATTGATGGATCAAATCAATGTTAATTATGCACAACACCATGCTCAAAGTGTGAATATAATACCAATAATTGTACAGATTGCGTCTCGACTTTTACATTAAGTGCTAGTACACAATATCAATGTATTTGCTCTCCTGGCTATTTTTATGTTGATTCTCAAATATGTGAGAAATGTGTAAGTTCATGTTTAACTTGTGAATTGAATAGGAATCACTGCTTAACTTGTGTTGATACTAATTCAGCTGTCAATAGTATATTTAAATGTGTTTGCAATCCAGGTTGGATTTTAGATTTTGATGGTATTACATGCATATAATGTTAATAACCATGTGTAGAATGTGTAGGTACAATTAGTAAATGTATTACCTGCTAAGATTAATTACATTAAAAACTTGATACTTGTGAATGCGAACCAGGGTGGATAAATGATATGAATTATTTTTGCATTCCTTGTTCATCACCATGTAAGACTTGCTAAAATTTTACATTCTAATGTCTAACATGTTTGGATGTTAACCATGAGCTAAACAACTTATCCTAATGTGTTTGTAAATCTTCCTATTATCCTGATACTCTAACCACATGTGCCAAATGTTCAGAGTCTTGCAAAGAATGTGACCAAAATGGTTGTATCAGCTGCATTGGTGTAGATCAAATCATAGATCCAAATAATAACTGTACTTGTAATCCTGGTTTTGTTTTAGTAAGTACCTAATGCATTCTACAGCTCACTAGATATTTTTTAAGGTTATGCTTTGTCTTTTCAAAAGATATAATTTTATTCAATTTTAAAATTGTACATTTAAAAAGTTAATCATCCAGCCAAAATTAATAAACATCTACTATCCAAATCAGTTAGGCTAATTATAATTTTTGTTTCGACTTATTTAAGAATATATTTCATAATCGAGATGTTGCTCAGGAGTAGAATTTGTTTAATTTACTGACCATTACATCATTTAAACATAATTTATTATTTTTCTAAGATAGAAATGACAACCAAATTATTTGAATAAATTGTTTCATTCTTAAAATATTTTTGCTTGTATTTGTATATTTACGCTTTATGGATTTAACTTCTTGGCATGAATAACCAAATCTCTTTTTAGATGATTATTAGAGATAGATTTTTTTAGAATGAAGTCAAATTAGTATAAATATTCAATGAATTGTGTTATTTGTTTTCAAGTTCACCTTAATAAATTAGATTAATTTATCTTTATGTGGTGATGAAAAAGTATCTTAACTTGAGGAATGTGATGATGGAAACATGATTCCATATGACGGATGTCACGAATGCAAATTTTCATGCTAAGAATAATGTATTGATTGCATTTACGGGATATGTTTTGGTTGTATTGATACAGGTTGGATACTTAATTAAATTAATATTTGTACTCCTTAATGTGGAGATGGCATTGTTGTTGAAGAATATGAATAATGTGACGATGGCAATGACATCCCTTTTGATGGTTGTTATTACTGTTAATTTGAATGCCCATAAGGTTGTATTTAATGCTAATCAAACTAATGCCAAAAATGTCATCATTTATATGTATTAGACATTAAAACAGGTAATTGTTTAAAATCAAGCAACGATAATGATGACTAATAAATAGAATTTTCAATTCTCTAGCCTGAGTAAATGGTAAATTTCAGATGTGGTGAAAATCATGTACTTATTAATAATATGTGCTTTGATAAATGCGGCAATGGATTAAGAGACAATCAATATGAAGAATGCGATGATGGAAATTTATATGGAGGGGATGGTTGTTCTTCTTTTTGTCAGATAGAGAGTTCATATGAATGTATAGATTAGGTATACTCTTTAAGTTTATGTACATATATTAAAGCTCCTGAAATTAATTTGAACATTCTTACTAATAATGGAGATTCTCTTCAAGTTGTAGAGTTGACTTTTACTTCATAAGTCTTATTGGAAGAAGCTGCAAATTTTGAAGATATCATAGCATTTACTATTAAGCCTTAAACTCAATACTAGTTAACAATCATCAGCATTTCAAATATAACAATATAATTAAACAATCCTAAATATTAAATTTAAATTGAATTCATTGAACCAGTGTAACATCCTATGTTAGAAGTTGTAATGCAGAAAAATACTATTTATAACTCATTTAAATTAGGATTAAAAGAAAATGAAAAATAAATTAATCTTGGTGCACCCTTTGTGCTTCCAGAAACCACTAAGTAGTAGCTAAATAGTATAGTTTAACTTAATGATGCAATGATGTATTCAATGGCTGGGGTGTCAAGTTTAGCTTTAGGAACAGGAAATTCAATTGTATTTTTTAATTTACTAGATCTATTACAATCATTTTCATATTTAAGGTTTATGCAATCATAATTTCCACCACATTTAAGAGATTTTTTGAATACTTATACTAAGGTTTCATTGCAACCAATCTTAAATTATTTGAAAGTAGATTAGTTATTGGAAGATTTAAATGGAAAAAGTAAATCAGATTAAGTAAAGAATAATTTATAACCAGACTATGAAATCATTTTAATTTAGCCTTATTTGTTAAATGCAAAAAGTTGCTATTTTTCCATTCTTGCCTCTATTTTAACCTATTTATTTTATTGTGCTTTAATTTCAAAAACTTTAGGAAATTTTATTTTCTAATGGTTTGAAAAATATCAATACAATAATAAAGTCGTTAAACTTACCCATTTATTTTAAAAATGTATTCAGAAAAAGTTTTATAAATAAAAAATAGAATATTTTTCTTTAGGAATTTTTCAAGTTTATTAGGCTATTCTGCATTAGTTAACCTTTAGTGTATTGCTATAATTTCCTAATTACACATTTGATTCTCCATTTACAATTCTGAACAGTGTCAATGCTATTTTAGGATTAGGGTTTATTTTAATTGCGAATATTCATTTACTTTCAATTACTACAATTAAAATAAAAAATTAAAGAAAATGGAGGTATTTCTATTCTGAATCTAAAACTTAGTTTTGGGCATGTTAATTTAAGTCTTTTTAAATTTACAAAATCCTATTTTTCATCTTCATTATAACAGAATTAATCAATTATCCAGAAGCATAATCAATCCTACTTTCTATGAAATCATTGTTTTTTTTGATTTATTTAATTAAATTCAAGCCCTTAAAATCCTTTTTTGAGCTTACTAAATTAGTTTGTAAAGAATTTATATTTATGATAATTTCAGGGACTTTTTTATTTTATAGCTTTGAATTCAGTTAAGAAACTTTTATTCTCATTGGTTGGATTCATATTAGTCTGTTTTGTACAATTATGGCTTCTAATTTATTTGTAGACATATTGTAATAAATCAGGAAAAAGTATGAGGCTAGTTTATTAAAAAAACAAAAAGATAGAGATGAGTTGTAGTCTAAATTGAAATTGAATAATGTACAAGGATTTTCATTAAATGGGTATGATTAATAAATATAAAAATGATATATCTATATATAATTACAATTAAGTAAAGTTCAATTAAAATTCAATTAATCCCACCTTAGGTTCAATTATTTTTGAAGTAGATTTATTAAAGGATCTAGTAGCCATTGCAAAACAACCTGATTTACTATCCCTAAGCTTCAATATACATCGCCTATTGAGAATGCATTAAATATCGAATCTTACATGCATTTGCTGTAAAAAGTAATGGAGGTTGTGCTTTTTCGGATTTGTAAACCGGTACAATAATCTGAATTAATTATATGAACTTTTTGTAATAAATCACTTACCTTAGCATAATAAGATGCATTTAATAACTTTAGTGAAGCCTCTTTAGCTTGGTTTTTTGTGCTAATAGTGAAGGATTCTTTCAAAAGCAAATCAGCTTTTGATTTAGGAACACGAGGAAATATTACCCAAACACTTCTTCTATAGTAAGAGCGTAATAAAACATTTTAATTAAAAAACTCCACATCTATATATTATTATAAATTTCTAACTTAGATCTCTTATATCTAGTTACTTGGTATTGGTTACTACCTTCTGATTATTTAACTATCTATTTTATAGTCTCACCTATCTCTTTAATTCAGGAATTTCTTAGCCTTAATGTAATTACTTATTAATATTGATAATTAAATATTGTGTGGCCTATCATATTCATCCATTAACGACATTGATCGAATCAATCTGTCAAATAATCGAATAATTTGAATCTAGCAATTCAATACCGAATTTAGGAATTTTATAAGCAAAACAATGTTAAAATATTACAAAAGTCAGTTTTTATTCATTCTAATACATTATTGGATCTCTATTCAATTATAATAATTGATCGAAAGACCAAAATTCTTAAAGAAGCTAATTTGGTTAGTTAATTACTATCATACTTAAATTTCATTCTAGTTAATCTAGTTTAAATATTGTGAATTCAATCGATAGCGATTTCAAATAAATTTGTAAGCTGATTCAGATATTTAAGTTGATTGATCTATTCTTATATTATCAAGTAACTTCCATTCTGGATAATTTTAAGCCAATATTATTATCAAGTTTTATTATTATCAAAATAATCCAAATATATTAAATATTAATTTAATAGAAATACAAAATGCAGATGAGGTGTATTTCAGCTGACCATCGAAATTAATCAATAATAGGGGTTTGTATAGATATTACATGCCCAAATTTAAGACCCTATTGTACTTATTGTTTGCCTCTCCATGCCAAACATCTTCATATGTTAGCCCCTTTGGATGTGATAAATGAATGGGTATAGGAACGAATCCTTTAGGTTCATAATGTATAAAATAATATACAAGAGTTCAAAGGTTCCCTTGAAAGTCTTCTAAAATAGTTCTCAACTTATCATAACTTTACTATTGATTAAATTCCTAATTTAGGAATATCATAGTTTGATAATTTAGTAAGAGGTTTAGGTTCAGTAGAAGAATGCGAAAAAATATTATTTAGACAACTTGATCAATCAATTCAATAAGTAAAATAGATTGTTATCCAAATTTAAAATAAATTCAAGAACAAAACAAATATAAACAAAATTGAAAATACATAAATTCTGCACAACAAAAACGATTAATTTATTTTAGAACAAACAAAAAATATTGACAAACTAAAACCAAATTTAAGCCCTATCGCATATAAGCTCATGAATAAAAATTCTATTAAATAACTGGAAGTGTGTATTGCAGTGGCTGTTAATAAAGACTGCTCAATTGTAGCTGTTGGATGTCAAAAATTAATAAAATTATATGAATTCAAATAAGGAATGTTGGAATGGATACAACTCTTAAATCTACATCAAGAGGAAGTGAACACTTTATACTTCATGAAAAAATCCAATTAGCTTATATCTGGAGATCATAGTGGAGCTATTTTGATTTGGTCAAGTGACAATAATAATTAATGGATTTAATCATAAACACTTAAACAACACAATGGTCGTATAAATTGTTTAATTATGAATAATAATGAAGATACTATTATATCAAGTAGTAATGATTAGACAATTAAATTTTGGATGAAACAAAGTGAATGGATCTGTTAATAAACAATAACAGATCATAAACATTTTGTTCTTTAATTAAGTTTAAATGAAAAATAAAATAAAGTTATTTCCTGTGGATGGGATCAATTAATCTTAGTAATTGAGTATTCAGAATAGAATAAATAGTGGATGGTAATATAAACTATTCAAGTTGATTGCTAAGGATCTAGATTATGTTTTATCAATGATAATCTTTTCGCATTTCAACCAAAGAAAAGCAATTTGATGTATATCTATGAGATGAACAATGGAAGTAAATAGTTCACTCAAACTAAAAAACTTACAGTAAATCAAGGCGATGATGATTATGTATTATTCCCATTATAATATATTAATTCAAAATAACTGCTTGTGAGTAAGCATCATAAGTATATCAATTTATTAAGAAAGACAGATAATGATGATGAATTTAAAGTTGAATAATCTATTCAATTTAATAGTTAAATGTTATTTGGTTAAATGAGTGATGATGGAGAGTATTTGATTACTTGGGATAATGCATCGAAAGAAATATAAATTAGGAGATCTATACAACAATGAAGATTATTACTATATCAATAGAATATTGCATTAATTATTAATATTTTAAATATAACGCTTTTCTTAATAGGGTTTGTGTAAAACTAAGTTGTAAGCTTTAGGTAGGCTTTTATTAATAATTTTCTACATTTTGATATCGAAATATCCAGGATAATAGAAACCTTTAGATGTTCAAACTTGTTTTAAGTTTGTACTTCCAAGGATTCTAAATATATTGATCTTGCTTTAGTATTAGTGATTAGACTTTTAAAATATCTCTTATGAATTGATAAAGAATATGGAAATGGGTTTATAATCAGAATACTTATAGAATTCATTCGATATTATTTGCCATTCTATATTGCTATTGACCAAATTAGTCAATATATCTGATCTTAGTTCCATCTTTTTTTCTTTTAGTTACCTTATAAGTTATTAAATCGTAATTTATGTTTGGATTTTTCTTATTTAATAGTTAATATGACCCCCAATAATGCTTGAAAAATAGTAAAAGTTTCAAGGGTTGCATTCCATTCAATCTTGGTTAAAAAGAAAGATGTATATTCACTAAGAGTAAAAAGTAAATTACTTAAAGATAATTTTACCGACTAAAGTTGTAAGAATCTCTAATTTTCTCCATTTTAACAGAAGGAATTTTTAATGGATTAGAGTCTATAAATGGTTTCCTTCTCTTTCTTTTAAAGAACATTGGCATGAACAATATGGGCATCTTTATTCTTATCATAGGGTACCTCCTCAGCTATTAAATTATGAAAGTTTTATAGAACTTGATTTTTCTCAGAGGAATGCTCCTAGATCTAGCATGAAGGGATATTCTGATCGTGGATCTATTATGATATCTCTTTATAATTTCTGACTTAAACTCAATCTTAAATTAATTTTATGAATAGTCAATTGTGATTCGAACATGGAGTTCTTGTATCCTAAAAATTGATCGAATCTGGCCAAGATTATGTTCAATTGAATTCATCAATACAAAGTCAGCAAATTAGGGCCACTGAGCATTTCAGTCTCCTTGCTCTTTTCACAACTTACAAAATTTCCAAGGATGATTATAGGCATCCAAAAAACCAAAATCAAGTAAGTATTAAACTTTGATAATTCCAATGTAATTTAAATCTAGTTACAAAACTAAAGCAGTAAATAATTGAAGATCCTCATTCACTTCATCAATCTGCTGCTTTATAATTCGATATCCAATTAACCCTTTCTTCAATTCAGAAATCTTTGTTAACAGTCTTTACTTTTAATATTGAATTGAATTCTATGTCTTAGATGAGTTAAATTGAAATCTATTCAAATTTCCTCTATGTTTTCTTCTTGGGATAGACATAGGTAGTCCTAAAGTTTTCTTTAGCGCTATCCTCCTCAGCTTCATCCAATTTGTATTTCTCTCATGGGCAGGTATACCAATAATGGGCTAATTTACTAAAGAAGAGGCTTCACAAATTTGGTCCACACTTGTGTTATGCGTCTTATTGGCAGAAAATTTCGTCAAAGATAATAGTTGTCTTGCCAAATATGTTACAATTCTGTTATCTTCTTTAAAGTGGCTCCTCAAATTTCCTCTCAAGTCCATTGTAACACTGCAGATATTAAACTTTTGACTTCCTTCATGGCAATCGTATCCCATCCTTTCTTCTAAATTTTCATTCTTGGCATATATATTTTGAATTTTAACATTACTTTAAAATTGAATTCTTTGATAAGCTCAATAACAATTTTAGTGATTGTTATGTTACATTTCCATATGAGGATATTACAAGATCGTCTGCATGTGCTAGAATATTTGCAACAATTAACAAGTTCTTTAATTTCTCATTCGATTCTTTCCTCTGACAGTTCGTTCCAATATTATGATTCTCAATTAAGAGTAAAAACTTTCTGGTAGCAGAATAAAGTGATATCAAATAAAAAGGAGATAACAATTATCCTTGATGGAAACAATGTTAAAAGTAAGCTTTTCTCTCTTTCTCTCCATCATAAATGTACATTTAATCCTACATCCTCCAGTGCAGTTGTTCATTCGCATTGAACATTCCTGAGTATCTTAAATCTTTCTTAAATGCTCAAATATTAAATCTCTGTTAACCAACGGAATCATAAAAAAAGGAGATAATGTTAACGCAATTAAAGAATGCTTTATTGCAATCAAAGTTATACATCATTGGGGAATGGTACCTAAGCAATAATCATTTTCATTGGGACATTTTGATTATTTATCAAAATGATTAAATCACAGTTTTGTTATTATTATCCTAATCACAGTCTTCATTTTCTTAGAATTCATTCCACTTAACTTTTCAAGCAATAATACAATTTATCCTCAGAAATTTCTTTGAATCTACTCTGATATTAACTTCTCTGTTTATGTGCAATTACTTTAAATCAAAAATTCTATCCAATCCTTTGGGTTTCCTTAAAAAATATTTTCCTTTAATAAATTATTTTAAAGAGTAGAATGCGTTGATTATCTATTATTTAAATAATAATAATTTTTGATATTTGCTCTCACCGTTATTTATAATGGCTTATTCTCAAGTTTTTAGAATTGAATCTGATTTATTAAGAGATTTTTCTTAAGCATACAAGCTCTATTTGATTTTTAAGATTTAAATTGATATTATCCTTGCTTTTAAAGAAACACCTATATATTTAGTAAAACATTCTCTTAAACTTCAATTTGTAGAAATGCAATTCACCTAAATTTAAAAAATTATGTTTCTCATCTTATTTTTCATTTATTGCAGAATGTAGGCACAACCTTATACCTTTTAAAATTTTGTTAGAAAAAAAGTTCTTCTATTGTATCAAATTCTTTTTACAATATTGTCATTTTTAATTCAAAGAGTATTTAATAAAATTTTTTCCTATAAATTCTCTGAGCACTTTTTTGTCTTAGATTTTTCCATATTTCTGCAAAATAAGGCAATTTAGAAATGTATCCTAAGGGAACCACTTATGTAAGCTTTAGATTATTTCAGTCCTATTTTCATCATTAATTATTCTAGTAATCCTTTTAGATTATTCTCAATATCTTCATCATTAAATTTATTTCCAATAATCTCATCGATTTCTTTTTTGAATGGATGGTGTGATATGTAATTTGATCATTTAATAAAAATAAAAAGATATTTCCCTTTTAAATTGTTAAATAATTTATTTATTGCACTCTCTTTCAGTGATAGTAGTTTAGAAGAAATAATTGAAATTTGTTAATTTATAATAAAATAAAATAATAAATTTGTTTTTATTAACCTTCATTTTATTGAAATTTAATAAAGTAATAGAAGACCAATTAGTATATAATTTATGAATATATATATTATATATTAATTTTAAATTAAATTGGTATTTTCTACTAAACATCTATTTTTTATATTATTGATTTTATGTTTATTTTAAATATAAATATTATTGATATAATTTTCCATCCAAAAAATAGAAAAGTTACACTTTTCAATCATTTATTAGATTCCTTACCATAACCTAATTGAACTTTAGGACCATAAAAGATAAATCTCTGTAAGCGATTATTATAGCATTATAGCATTATTGCATTTTATTAATTTCAAATTAGAGTTTTAGTTTTTTATAATGTTCATACGCTTTTATTAAATGATTTATCATGTCAATTATTAAACTTGAAGCTAACAACATAGAAAACAAGCCAATATGTATCCATCCGCATAATAGGAGTAGTTAGGTCATTATTTTAAGATAGTAAAGGATTAAATGTTGATTTGGGTGACTTCAATGTTTAAATAATTGAAATATTTGGAAACCAAGTAATTTTGGGACTTTCACCCTTTGGAATGGTTAAAAATTAAAAAAATAGCTCAAAAATTAATCATCAGCCAACTACATTAATCTAATTCATAATTCTGAGTTATATAACTCTTTTTTGAACTAATTTTGATCCGATACAATACTTTTTGCTATTTGTTCTGAATTTAGAAGAGAATTCTCATCCCTTTCTTATGGTAATTTAGGCTACTTGAGAGAAAAAATCATCGGTTTGTAAAATTTCAAAGTTAATGAATGAATCAAGTGTAATATAAGAGTTCAATAAACCCTAAAGATTTAGCTTTATTTAAATTTATTTTACATTAAATTTATAAGAAATTTTATTTATAGATGTGTTATAATATAAAAAGTCACTTTTTTATTTAAAAAAACAACCCAACTTCCAAATTAACAGAAATCTTATGGATGCCACAAAAGAGTGTGTTTCAAAAACTATTTCACTTCTCAATCAGACTTGAGTTTGTATAATAATATCTTGTTAAATAAACAATTGCAAACTGCCTATTCCAAGCTTGGTTAAAATTAATTTTTATTCTAATAAAAATTTTTATTCAAATTTATACTTTGTATAAATATTTTTAACCATTTAATTAATATTAAAATTATTAAATATCCTTTTATAAAATATTTAGTATTATTTTTATATTTAATTATATAATTAATTATATAATTAATTAATCTATTAAGCTCATCAAATTCTATGAGGTTGATAAATAATAGAATAAACTAAACTTTATAAACTTAGAACAGCCATAGAGTAATTATAATTAAAAATGTCAATAGTATTATTAGGATATGTAGGTGTAGGAAAAACATCACTCTATAATAAAATTACACAATCATAAGAAAAAACAAGTGCAGGTGGAAATCAAACAACTTTGGAGGTCTTTAAGAAAAAGTCAAGTTATGGTGCAGGGTTTTTAGTAATAGATACTCCTGGGTTAGAACCAGAGTAAAACAAATTAGATCATGTTGCTGGTGTTCTTTGCGCTCTATCTGAAGGACCCATTAACAGAATTGCAATTCTTATTAAATTTGCTAGGACAATCACAATTATAGAATAAGTTAACAGAATGTTAATACCTTTTATGAATTATCGACACATGATCACAGTAATTGTTACAGTTTGGGATTATTGTGAAAAAAAAGTATAAGAAGAAACTGCAACAGATATTCAGTCAAGGCTTGCAGAGTATTAAATAAACTCAGTGATGTTTGTTGGTAAGAATGACACTTCTGTGAGTATTTGTCAATAAATTGATCAAATTATTGATAAATCGAAGGCAGAAAATGTGAATTTAACAAATACAGAAATATTCCAAAATTTTGAAATCGTAGATTATAATGATTTTGAGTTTATTGAGATATGGAATGAGTAAATGTATTTTAAAGGATATTACAGAAAGTTGTATTATACAATCAAAAACTTTATATAGTATCTCGATTGGCAAAATGAAATATTAATAGATTGTTTTTATGTAATAGCTTAGTTTGTAAAATAATCGTTAGAGATAACTATCAAAAAATTTGAGAGCTCTGCATTAAGATGCTGGGATTATTTAGATGAAAATGATTAACTTAAGGCTTCTCAAATTCATTTCTAACTTAAAAATGATTTATTTTAGACATACAAAGAGATTATTGATATTCTCGACTCCAAAGTTTACAAAGAATATCAACACGCTCAATATATAAAAAAATGCAAATATTGTGGTCAATTTTGGTTCTCATTAGATAGTTGTAACGGTGAGTCAGTCTGTGGACGCGTTGATTTAATGGAATAAGAAGAGACTATTGAAGAATTTACTATAACTTACATGTAAGAAAAGTTGAAGATTGAGCATAAAACTGTATATTTGAGAGAAAAATAAAAACTTTATTAATAAAATTTGTCCTAAGGGGTAGAAAAAATGGTTCTAGGTAATTAAACAATCAAAGGAAGTAGGGTTGGATGTGGAAGAGTAATTGAATGGGAAAAAATGGATACGTTGACGGAAAAAGAATTGAGAGAAGTTGTAAGTTTTTTAGATATTGAATTATGTAATCAAATGATTGAATTTGAACGTTAAACAAAATAAAAAACACTTAGCTAGCAAATAAAATATGAAAAGGAACTTTAATAAAAAATAACAGAATAAAAATCAAAAATGAGAATAATGGCCTGATATTTAGATTATATAAATATACAATTATAACGTTATTATTAGTTAAAATTAAAATTATTTTATTATAATTTATTATAGTTTAAAACCCTAAAATCTGTAATAAATTTTAGATAATACAACTTATATCTACGCAAGAATTAATATTGAAAGAAATGATACTTGATTCATTTTTATTAATAATAATCATATTTTTATCGTAATATCAAAATATCATATAAATTTTTGAAATATATAACTCATTTTATATCTCTATTTTTATCGACTAATAGTAAGGTACGTTGTATTTCAAGTTTTGGCAATAGACACAAGCAAACAAACTGATAATGTAGAATAGACCACCAATAAATAATTTAATGTAGATTTTTGTTGTAGAAATTTTATTGGATATAATAATAATTGATTAATAATTTTCAAGATGGATATACACCAATAATTTAAGGCCAGAATAAGGCAAACTCAATTTGGAATGATTTACGTCATTGGTATATTCTGAAATAGTTGAGTAATAATATCAGTTCAAAACGTCTGATTAATAATACTATGATGGATATTTAAATGATCATGATAAGGTATGTTCAATTCTTTATCTTAAAGACAATACCACATGGTTAAGAATAACACAATAATGAAACTCTTAATGACTGAGGTGATTGTTATAAAGACAAATTTGAAAAAGGCTAAGGTTTAAATTAACCATTTATGTTTAGTATATTTGCTTTTGGTAATTAAACTTACCTATTAAACGAATGATATGTTACTGGTAAGAATGTTCAATTTGATGGGTATTATTTATTTTAAAGAATGTGTGAAATTTTAATGAAATTTACATAATTAGTGCATTCATAATTTACAGTTAGCAATCCTCATTACCTATCGTGCCCTATATATCAAACAATAAAATCTGCATTATGGAATCCATTAATAAACCCTCTTCAATGTAAATAATCCATTTGAGGATGAAAATTATGTGCTTTTGAAAGGTAAAAATATTAGGAAAATAGCGGGTATTAAAATTCATCTATTATATATATATAAGTTATTGTTTTGAGTTTGATAAGTTTAATACTCTAATATAGTACAAGGGTAGAGAGAATATTTCTACAATTATCAAAGGTTTTTGGTGAGGTAAATAATGTGTGTCCAGAATTACATGCATATGCCTAACATGTATCCAAATTAATGCTTTTACATATATGTGTTATTCTTAGCTTTTGCTAAGATTTGCTTAGGTGTTACAGGACCAGTAATACAAACTTAGAAAAATTGAACTTAATATGTGTGCCTACCAGGATTTAACCATTTTAAGCAAGGACTCTTTATAACGAATTATTATCAGTTCATTTTGGATTAGATATCGGAGAGGCATTAGTAATGGAAATGTTATCGGATGGGCATTATCAATACTATTATGAAAGTAGGCTATTTAATTAATACATTAGTCTTATTTGTTCCTCTATTGCTTTATAGCGATGCTTAATAGTTTCAATAATATTTGCTTTAAATAGATGCCAATTTGCAAATTTCTATTCTATAGGAGTCAATGGTTATGATCATAGGTATACAAACTCTCCAAGAAGTAATTCAGACGTGATTATTATGTCTGTCCTGCAGGCTGTAAAAAAAGTTCAGCAGCAGGGTAATGTGATTAATGTAAAGATAGCTAGCTATACATACATAGATTCAAAAAATATAGATTGTTCGATAAGTAATTGATAATATTAAATATTTTTTAGGTTGTAAAGGATATAATATTTGCTATTATCCTACTACTAATTCTTCAGAAATTTTTGACACCTGTTCTTAATTACTGTTTGAAATTAATAAGATTGGAATATATTGTCTAGGTTATTCTATCTAAAAATATTTTAAAGGTGACTATTTACCTTGTATATATCCAGATAGGAGTAATACTTATGATATTTATGCTGGCTGTTAGAGTGGGTTGTCACGAATTTGATCTAAAATTTTGCTAAATTTATCAAAGAATAGAAGATTATAACTTTAATCTTATGATAAAATATTAACCAAACATGTTTATTATGATTTTGCAGTAATATTTTAGAATAATCAGAGAACATGAATTAATGTGATCCAGATTTTACCAAGATTAACATAACAATGGAAGATGTATGTGCAAGATTTAGTTTATATTTTTAGTGGTTAGAGAATATAATAGAGAATATTGTAACATATTATGGCAAAGGGAAATAATTATATAGCTTGTATAGCATAGTATGCATTACAACCTGATAGCACAAATAATTATGTGGAGTGTGCTCAAACTTGTGATATATGTTTTGGATACAGATCCAATCTATTATAACAGCCTGGTGACTGTATTACCACTTACACTTATTACAGTACTGAGAATAAAATAGCTCAAACAAAATGGTATTGTCATTTAAGCTGTACTAACATTTCATAATCTATTTAATTTGATAATAGAATCAAAATAAAATTAAAAGGATAATATCCGCACATGCTTTACAAATTTGTTGTGTAAAAAAATAATTTTGTATCTTATGCGTAGGGATATTGCAATGAATGCGAACAGCAGGAATTATTATTGTACTGCTTGTAAAATGGACAAAACAGAATACTAGTAATTAAATAATGCAATTGTAAAACAGGATAATATGTCCTGAAAATTTAGATTAAATATGTATTCTTAATTTATAGATTCATATTTTAGCCTGTGAGAACTCATGCTTATACTCAATGTCCAGATGAAAACACTTACAACTAATTAAATTTGGAAGGCTTTTCCGTGCAAAGTTCGATATGGAGAGTATGCAACTTAAGATTATAAATGTGGATGTATTAATCACTATTATTATTAAGTATGTTATCTAAAAGTGTCACACTTGCTTCTAACCAGCTGATTCCACTTCAAATTCATGTTTTCTAACTTGTATACCTGGATAGAATCGTGTTTCTTCTGAGACTTTTACATACAAATGTGAAGTTTATTCTGGTACTGAACCAACTAATTGTATATATTGTGTGGAATGCTCAAATAGAAAAATAACAACTACAGGAGAATGCTTGTGTAAATTATTATATTACGATTATGGCACAGATAATATAGATTGCTAAAGTAAATTGTAAGGTTTTTTCATAGGGTGCCATTATGCAAGTTTAACATGTTAAATACTACTCAAAAAGATGCATGCGTGGAATGTCCTCCAACTAGAAAACCAAGTTCATCAGGATATCAATTTGAATGTCTATGCACTCTTGATAATACTTTTGATGATGGATTTTCAGTCCACTTCAAATTTGAGACCATACTTGTTTGACATGTAATGGTCCTCTTCCATCAAGTAGACTACATGTGATATAAATTATAGGTAAATTGTGTCGTCATCCTGCGATGTCCAATTAGTCATTACAATATTGGAGAATTAGAATATACAAATAATTCTACTAAATTATTAATAGTATGCCATTTTTCTTCTTAATATTCCTTCAATTACATTACGATATTTGTATTTCTTGTTCTTTGGAAGTGAACTTTAGATTATTTAAAGGAAATACTTGCAAGTGTAGGGAAGGATATTATATAGTGGTTGGAATTACTTAGTGTAAAGTAACAACTCTAATTATTAATAATCTTCAAGAATGCTTATATAAATGTGAAACATGTTAAACCTAAGCAGAGAAATGTTTGAGCTGTCCTTTATACTCATTAAATATACTAGATAATGATTGTTTGTGTCCAGGAGAATAATTTGAGAAACAGGATGAAGAAGTTTTTCAAAGTAAATTTCATAAATATGAAAGATGCCATTTCAAATGCAAATCCAGTGATGGGAAGGATGAGAATAATTGTCTTTTTGGTGACACTCTAAATATTATATTAAAACATAGCTTGCAGTGCATACTATTATAATTGTTATTACATTAAATAATTAATAATATCAATTGCGAAAATAATTTGTAAAATGAATGACATAAATACTCGAGTTCCCTTATACCTCATGCAATGACGATAGATATTTTATTGGCATTAAGTAAAAATTTTATCTTTGTTCTTGCAAATGCACTACTAAATGTTAAAGTAGATAATCCAGATAAATTTTAGAATGCCATAATTCGTGTAAAACTTGTAGAGGAATTGTATTGATGACAAGCAAAGAGTGTAAGTTGGAAATACATTTGTATGCAATGATGGATATTTCGACGCAGGAATACTTATTTGTTAAAATTATTCGTATTTTTTAATAAATAGAGTGCAGCTATAAATGTAAATAATTTTACAAATAATCTGATAGTTTTAGATATCTTTCGAATAATAGTTTCAGATTTCATGTTCTGGTTTCAACAAATGAAAATGTATACAAAATTATTATGATGATGGGGTGAAAGAAATTTCCAATGTAAATATTTTTTTAATCATTTTAAGAATGCCATTATTCATGTCTCAGATACAATGATATTAAAACTAAACCTGAATTGTGTTCAAGTGATTCAAATAGAAAATATAATGATCAGTCACTCCTCTTACTAAATTTGTAGATCTTGAGATGTTAATTCCTATATTGCATTCTTAGATATGAATACTTCAAATAGGTATTACAGAATAAAGAAAATTCATAAATTTTTTTCATTCAATATAAAACGGTATTAATGATAGTTTACTTCTAATTCTTTTTCTTTAATAGTAAAATATCTAAAATTATTTAATACATGTGCGCAGTAATAACCATCATGATTTAAATACATTTACTATAAAATTCACTTTTTGTATCTCTTACAGATTTTCCTGGATTTGACTGTTTCAGGGTAAGTTGCAATATTCTAATTAAAAAAGTTAAACATTCAAATTTAATATATGAATGATCTCAAACTAGATAATCTCGAATTAAATTATTTTTAATAGAATAATATATTAATAATTAATTTAAAATGAAATCAAAATATATTGTCAGAATTAACTTATTTTCCATTATGAACTTAAAACATAATTAGAATCTAGATTTACTTAACTTTGATTTTTTTTATCAGTTAATATTTCATTTTTCCTAAGTGATAAAAAACTATCCATCGTCATTCAAAGATCCAAAGATTTGTAAAGGCTCAAGCCTAATGGATTGCTACATTATAAATTTACCATAAAAATTCCTCTTTATTAAACTCACGTTATTAGAATTCTTATTCATAAGGAAGGCTTTTATCTTGATATATTAGTAAATAAAAGAAGACAAATCACTGTCGCTTTCTACACTAATTTACTTATCATTTGTTTACTATTATTATTCTATTCGTCTCAAAAACATGGATTGATTTTTCGCTCAAAGGATAACTTATGAATGTAGTCTTATCAATAAAGTGTAGTAATTTTTTACGTTATAAACCATTATTAATTGCATTTAGAATATTATGCGAATTCTAATCTTTTAGATGCATTAAAAAATATATGCTACTAAGTTGTAACATAATAATTAAGCTAACATTAAAGTATAAGTATAATTTGTATTTAAATTAGATCAAAAGTATTTTATATGGCCAATAGTTAATATTTATTAAGCAAATATTTATTGAATTTATAAAAGGTTTTATATCAGAAAATTAAATTTCTCGCTTTTGCAATTTTCTCTAAAAAATGTAGTTTACTTTTTTGTGTACTTGTAGAAATTAAATTTAAAATTATTTTAACATGATTAAAAAAACAACAAATTAATTCCATCATCCAAAAAGAAATCTATGATGTTGATCTTATTAACTAGAAGACAAATTAAGTGTTGTTGTAGCCCTTATGTAAGCAAAATTTATAGATCATTTACAAACTTACTCTCACATTGCCAATCAATTAGAAGGTTAATAAGAGATTATTGTAAAATTGTAAAAAAAGTCTCTAGAATTGTAACGATTTATAATCGTTTTTAATTTCCCATTCTATATTTGAGGAGGAACTGGTTCAGGCTCTGGATCATTCTTATTAGAAAAATAAAGTGTCGATAATTAATAATAATAATGATTAATATGTTCAATGGAGAGACTTCTTGCTTGGATTAAGGAGTACAATCCATATTGGCGTCATCTTTGATATATTACGAGATATACCGTGGAAGTCCGCTCAAAC